AGTGGCGTGGGAGATATTGAATTCAAATGAATATTTTTAACTGGGACCCTGTATTTCTTTTAGCAATTATATTGTTGCGGATCACTCAGTTTCTCTCGCGTCGCGGCATTTTATTTACAATATATAAACTATAACACAACTGGATACAATTATATCTCAGATCTTTCAATTTGAAATGTTGTTCGTTCGACAGTCCGATCTCGACTCTTCGATTGTCCGTTGGTAACACTCTTCCGTGACACTAACACTCTTCTATTATTTATTAAGGAGTTGTTCACAACAGGGCAGTTTCACATTACAGCGACTTGATTTGGACAAGTCGCCGTAACAATATAATAGCGTTTGTTGAGGCGAATGCAATGACCTAGAACATGATATCATTCCATGTAGCAAAATGATATAAATGAAATGCATGTGTTTCAGTCCACTCTAAAAATTCATTATACGATGTAACTGTCACCTGAATACTGATACTCTAAAATATGCGAAAAAAGGTTAAAAATTTGAATAATTAAGTAATTAAACTAATTTTGATAATTTATGAACCTAATTTTTCACCGTATTAAGAAAGTAATACCATAATCGGTTTCTACAACACAAAAAACCAAAAACCCCTAAAACTGTTTTACTTATAATGAGAAAGATGTAAACATAACAATATTATTCGTTTAGTTTGTGTTTTCGAGGATCCGTACCACTGTGCGTCTTATATTATTATCCGACCACGTGCTCCGCTATGACGATCGGCAAACCGAACCACTATTAACCCATATTACCGCAATGAAGTCTAGAAACGTAATTGGCAAAACTCACAGCCACCAGGATAGTGTCATATATAATGGCCCATAAAAGTGTTCGTACACCATTTTCAACGCAATAACTATTTTAAACGGAACCAGTGATAATTAATGCTGCTGCAAAGCGAGCTTGTAAGCAAGCAATATGATTTTTCTTTTCCTCATCACTCTTACGTAATCGAAAAAGAAAAATATATCCGCGGAAAAGAATCGCAACCCACGACCTCCGGATTTATGGTCCAATACGTTACCCGCATAGCCATTCCAATATCGCAGTAGTTGCTTCTCGTTTTCGACATCTATAGACAACGTTCGGTCCAATGGAATCGGCCATTAATTATGTCATCTTTTTTAAGTCGATTTTTGAGCGAATTAAATGGCTCTGTACAATATCAATAAGAAACCTAAATCTAATAAACTTCATGCTAAAAATCTGCCTTTGTAACTTACAATCGTGTGAATAATTATCGACTCATAGTAACCATTACATTTAGTAATTTCTACATTTTTTTATTGATATTTAAACGAAAACATAATAATATACCGTATTTGTATATTTCTATATATTGGAAATAATAGAAAAATAAAAATATACAAATAAAATTCTTTTTGATTCTAATATTAGCAAAAATGTAAAGGTTATTTTGAGTTTATAATTATTCACAGCACTATTGTAAGTGGCATTCTTTAATAGTGACACGTTCCACATTTAAGAAAAAAGCTTAAGAAAATATCATATTTGTATATTTATATATACAATAGAAATATAATAATAGAAAAAATAGAAATATACAAATTTGATATTTTGTCAAGCTTTCGTTTAAATATCAGTAATAATGTAAAAGATACTTTTAAATTATTAAATTAATATTATTTTTAAATATTTTAAAAGATACTTAAAGTATAATTACACACACCATTGGTATAACCGTCGGTTACGTGGATCACAGTCCCTGTCAAAACCCGTTCTTACCAGGTTGATCGGGTTAGCCGGAACACTTCAGACTATCTGGTCCCCACTACTCAGTCTGCGCGGATTACGGTCAGTTACTAAGAACCGAGTCCGATTCGGATAACGGTTGGAATCCCTGGTCACTGTATATACTATGTTGAAATTTAATTTATAATAGAATTTAAATAAAAATTTTAATTATAGAAAATTTTTAATAAAAATATTTATAATAGATTTTTAATAGAAAATTTAATTTTAATATATATAGATGTTTAAAAGTAAAATAACAGATCTTTAATAGAAAATTTAATTCTAATAGATTTTTAATAGAAAATTTAATTTTAATAGATTTTTAAAAGAAAAATAATAAATTTTTAATAGAAAATATAATTTTAATATATTTTTAAAAGAAAAATAATAGATTTTTAATAGAAAATTTAATTATAATAGATTTTTAAGAGAAAAATAATTGATTTTTAATAGAAAATTTGATTTCAATAGATTTTTAATTGAAAATTTAATTACAATAGATTTTTTAATAGAGAACTTATTTATAATAGATTTTTAATAGAAAATTTAATTATAACAGATTTTTAATAGAAATTTGTATTGTAATATGTGGAGAAGAAAAATTTCTTATGATCATATCAATTAATTTAGACGAACAAACGCCGTGTCAACAAGTCAGACTTTAGGAAAAATGCTTGTAATTCATTACGCATTAGATGATTCCGTAGATGTGATATTGTATGCATTAAATCAATATATCATGCATTAAATATAATTTGCACATTGTTTGTCCGTACATTACGTGCAGAAAAATCCTTGGTCTAATGAGTTTCCTGTGTTAAGTGAATTACTAATGACCATGGCCTATACGAAGCTACAATCAAGTCGTAAACAATGAAATGCCGCCGGTGAAACTGCTATGCGAAGCGCGCATTGAAATGTTATCACGAATCGTGCAAAATGCTTGCTAATTTCAGTTTCGAAAAATTCAGAATTATGCAATTCTGAAATAGAAAGTCGATTCACCAGATATCTTTATAATTCGACTTTTTTTATATCGGAGCATTTAAGAATCTTATGATGTTCTTAATAAAGAATGAAATAGTAATTAGAAAATTTTAAACCACTTACCTCGGTAGTGCCTCTCATCCTCGGTACCATTATTGCGGTTCAAATTATGTAAATGGGCGCGTAAATGGGCAAGAGAAAATGATAGAGCGCCGCTATTTTTAAATAAACAAAACGTTTCACGAGCCCGGGAGGGAAAAGACATCGTAAAGTCAAGTATACAACCTAACAAATTGCGAGCAATCGAATAATTTTGATCGAGTGTTCTGTAATTAAAGCGATGTGTCCTTAAAAAAGGAGGACAAGTTACTTCTGAATTGATTACGCTCTTACGGTCACCGTTCGGCTTGTTTAATTGCCGAGTATTTCTAGCTGGAAGAATGCCGATATCATTTTCCCAGGTAGTGGTATCTCCCAACAAACTTTTCTGCGCACTTATTTTCAGTGTTCTATTCCAAGATCGTAATAAATGTGAAACTTTTTTAAATTCTCTTCAACGCGCGGATTTTACAGTTTCAAACTACGTACACATACATACACACGAAAGTATTCGAATGCCTCTTAAAACCGAGTAGCTTCATACCTAGAGAATTTCCCTGTCTTTTGTTTATTTCCTTTATGCATATTTAACTTTATATTTATCGAATAAGACATATCAAATTCTTTTTTATTTAATTTCAATTAATTATTTATTTGTTAAAATTAAACATTTAGAAGACGGAAGTTATTAAAATAGCACAAAAATTATTCTAATTCGAGAAATGTTCGGTAAAGCTGATGAAAAGGGTCAAGAAAATGGACGAATAAAGATCAATATTCAGTAACATAAATAATTCTAGGTAAGATATAACACTGTTAATTGCATTGGTAAAACGTATTAAGATTATATAAAAAACAGTGATGATTCAATTTTAGCAGTTTATTTACCGTACACAGTAACTGAACCTATTTTTTCGCTCGATGCGTTAATTACTGTGCCGTTTACCACAGGATATGCCTACATAACCTCATATCTCAAAATCATCTCTGCCATATTTTTAAAGAGGAGAAATGTAAATACGAAATTTTATTAAAACAGTCACCTCTAATGTGAACTTTTAAATGAATTATTACGATATTACATTTTTTGGTATAGAAAATAAAATTCATTGAAGCAGGCCAGGAATTAAAGTATGTTAAATATTATTAAATATAAAGCATGATAAATTATTATTGTGCAGGCCGAGTATTCAGAGATGGAGCATGTTGGGAGTACATTTGATAATTTCATTTCCGTGGTATCTGAGCTGTATTCCCAATTCACAGGTAAGCGTGCTTGATCACGTGATAAGGAGCAACTGAGTATGGGGCTCAGCCCTACCGTAGGTCCTGATTATGTGAATTAAACGTGTGATAAGATAGCGAATTAACTTTGTATATTAAATATATAAATCTCTCTCTCTCTCTCTCTCCCTCTCTTCTTACCTAAAACTTTAAAGTTGATAACCCAAACAGAGCACAGTAATTGAAGCATTGTATTCAGGAAGGGTGCACAGTAACCGAAGCACAATGTTCAGAAAGGGAATACAATGGCTGATATTTATAGATCATAGCCACATAGTAACTGGCTCCAAAATTTTTCTCTTAATATTCAAAAAGAATTTAATATTTATATCATGAAAAAATTTATATCGATGAAAGAAACTTTGAAATTTACCTTCAAGTTCGTTCCGAAGTGTCAATGAAATCACTAAAGTTGTTTTTAGTAGCAAAAACTCCTGAAATCCGCCAACAGTGCACAATAATTGGCTCCTCTACCCTAGGTGACCGTGAGCATTTTTTAAATTTTCGTTATAGACTCATTATATCAGATAAACAAGTTGAAAAAACATTCTTTTTCAATCGTTTCGTCGTCCCAACAAATTGCAATTTTTCAAAACAATTTTTTAGTCATCGCCTAGTGAACTAATCTCTCTAACATCTCAACAAAATATAGATCGCTTGACCTAATTATAAAGAAGTCATTCCATTTTAAAGGGCGTTCGAATACTTTCACGAGTATGTGCATCTACGAGTCCTTCATTCAATTTTCCACGAGATTTCTAGAAGCTCTGCTATACTTCGTACATGCCACGACGGAACGGGGTGTCATTAAGGGTCTCGATTTCGCAAATGATCGAACCAAGAACGCAGCGTCCGATTAACGTATCTTTATTATGTACAAGATGATCAATTACTCTAATCGAATGCCTTGAGGTCGCTGAAAAACTTGCCCATCCTAGCTCTGAGTTCGTCCTCGTACTTCAACGCGGACTGATCGATCCTGATGTCCACCATGAGCAGCTCGCAGTCCAAGTGCCTCGCGTCGCAGGCCCTGTGGTGGTGCTTGAGGACGTCGTCTGGGTCGAAGTGATGCGCGCGTCTGGTTGATGGGTTCAGTGTCGTCAGCGCGTAATGATTGTGCACGGTCAACGCGCGTCTGGTCGAGACGAAGCTCTTCACGGAGTCGCCTTCCGGCGAGATGGAGGCGGTCCTGACGGTGTTCAGATAATCGAGGTCACCGAGAAAGCTCGGCGAGTCTGGCGAGCCGCCGTCGAATCGGCTCGGGTCGGTGCGGTTCCTGTTCTGCAGCTCGGGGAAGAAGTACGCGTTCCGGACCGCGTACGACGCGAAGTCCTTGAAGCTTCGGCCGAGCTTGAGCCTCTCGTCGAGCAGCAGCTCGTACCAGTTGCGCCTGGTGATCGGCACGATCGTCTCGTCGATGTCGATCGGCAACACGAACTCCGATCGATGGAGGTTGTCGTAGAAGCAATGATTGTACGGTATCAGCTCGAGCCGTCTCTTGATCCAGATGTCCTCACCAAGCAGCCGCCTGCGAGCGTTCTTCTCGTTCGGCAGGTCGCCGGGCAGCGTTAGATTGAACCATCTGATCACGTTCGACCGTTCGTAAAGCCTGAGCACCTTCAACACGTTCTCGTGCACGTTGAACACGTAAAAGTAGAAGAGCTCCGCGCCCAGGATGCGGTGCAGCTCGACGAACGCGACCAGACGCGACGAGATGTCCTCGTCGAAGTCCAGCCCCTTGATGCACAACGTGAACTCACGGCTGCGCCGATTCTCCTGCTCGCCCCTGCTCTCCGGGCTTATCGCTAAACTATGACTAGCATTCTTGTGGCAAGGTTCGGGGCCCACGTACACTCTGGACGGATCGACCGCCGCGTCCGGGGATAATTGACAGCCGACTAGGACGCCCGCGTAGCTGTCCACCGTCTCGTCCCATTCGTCCAACCAAATCGTTGAGACCAGCGCCTCCACGCTCACGGACCTGCCTCTCTCCTCTTCCTTGTACCTGCAAAACGACAGACAAAATACGCGGGTCAGTCGAAGTAGAAAGGGTTCTGGGTTCCACCGCAGGGGCAAGAACATCCCAAATACTAAGTACAACATCCGCTCGAAACGCTTCATCGATTTCTTTGAGTTGACGTTTGCGGAACTCGCTTCTGCACTTCAGAGAATCAGTCTGCTAATTGAGCCGTTTATTTTGAAAGTGGCATAAGTCACTTTTTCAAAAAAATCGAGTTAATGGTAACACTAATTACAATTGAACGGTATCTTTTCATTTTTAAAAAATTTGCAATCAATAAGTTGAGAACTATTGAGATTTGTTCGAGAGAAGTTTTGCTAATTAACGGTATAACAAACATGTTTATTTTCAAAGTGGCGTAAGTCGCTGTACTCAGGAAATTAATTGCAGGGCTCAGTGTAAAAGAAATAGGAACGTGTGATAAGTGTGTGTGAAGTATTGTTTTGAATTATTTTCAGTCTTTTTAAAAAAGTTGTGATCACTGGACTTATTTTTATAAGTGCGAAAGAATAGTGCAGTTTTGTAAATTATATTATAGTGATAATAATAATATAATAATATAATAGAAATGGATCCGTTATACGCTGGATATCGTCCTGTTTCTTCAGCAAAATACAAAGACATGATGGACTTGCTTAATTATATACCCCCAATATACCATAGTTATTTTAAAAATTTGATTTCCGAGGACTTAATCACTCCTAT